TTGCCAGAGTTTATAGACGATTGGAGAATCTATTCTCAGGTTTGGAGAATGGAAAAGTGGACAGTCTGTTCTGGAAACAGCAAATAGCTGTTATAGGGTAAAATTTTCATCTCTTGTCACTGTGGCTTCATCTTCTAGAAAGATAATTGATGTGAAAAGCAGAAGCTTCTTCATAGTACTTGGTCCTTCTCTCTCTCTGTGTGTGTGTGCATATGTGAGTGTGTGAGCACACACATGTGCAGTAGTGGAAGGGGGGTCCTCTGACCTTGAAGCACCTGCTGTGTCCAGCTCAAGTATCAGCTAGAGCAGCCGCTGAGTTAATCCACCACAAACAGACATTGTTCTGGAAACTTCTGCTCCCCATACAGCTCCACTTAAGTGTTGTGGATCGATTCTTCCATGGGAGACCATTAAGTGACACTGAGAAGGGAGGAAGAGGGACAGAGGCAACTTTTGCTGCTGCTGCCCCCACCTCTGTGAAAATTCCTTTGCCAAGTAAGATGTGGTGGTGCATACCTTTAATCCCAGCACTTGGGAAGCAGAAGCAGGAGATCATTGTGACAGGCCAGCCAAGACTATGGGGGAGACCCTGTCTCAAAAAAATTTTAATCACCACACATATTCACAATAAAATGCTCACTTGGAGAGGACAAGGATGGGGGCAGCCTCATGTTAATACCCAGGGTGGGGGAGTAGACTTTGGATAACTTGTAACAAGGGTGGTGAGTGGAAGCATGTTAGACTGGGCAATGGCTGTAACAAGGCATATAGATATGTGATGAGCTGACCACATACAAGATGTTTGACCAAGGGAAGTTGTTACAATTCTGATGTGTCCCCCAAAGTTCATACACTGAAAACTTAACCTCAAATCTCACATGCTAAATGTTTAGGGAAGAGGGTCCCGGAAGACTATAAAAGTCTGAGGCATTGGATGACTACAAGGAAACATTCTCTTCAGGACACAGCAGGGCAGTTTCACACATGTGGTTGTGACAGCACACACAAAACTGTGCAAACCCAGCAAGGACAAAGGACTTGGGCACACAATCCCACCCCAGATTGTGGAGCTGTTGGCAATGTTGGCTGCTAGGAGACAGAGTGTGTGAATTCCCTGAAAGTGTAGGTCCTGTTAAGTTTATCACTCTCCAGGAGAAGACCACACCTCCAAGAGCACAAGTTGGGGAGCATAAATTGGTCATGAAGGATTTATAAAAGAGAGGGGGACACACAAAGTTGGGTGGGCAGAGAATGGGGTATGAATTGGGGTATTGGGGAAGAGTTGAGAAAGTGGTGAATACGAACAAAATATATTGCATAAAACTCTAAAAACACTCTTTAACAGTTTTCAAAAAAATTTAAAATAAGTACATGAAAAGCATCAAATGTTATATCTATCTACCAAATTCTCTTTGCATTCACTAAGCGTATAATAAACATGACCCAGAAAGGTGGTAGACACAGGGACAATCTGCCTCTGGCAGCCTGGTCAAACTTTCGGTCGCTGCACAGTTGTTTTTTTGTTTTTGTTTTTGTTTGGTTGTTTTTTTTTTCAGGAATAAGGTTATGAGAAGGTTCAACATTTGTCCTGCAGAGGGTAGGAACTAGCACCTTTTAAGAGATAAACTGACAACTGGGACAAATCCAAATTTTGAAAACCATTATTTCCATAGGAAATGAGTATACTGATAGTAACAATCCACCTTTGGTCTATTAGAAAGTAGCACCTTCACCCCCAGTGCAGAGGGAGTCGATGTCTGTTTTGTTTTGTTTTTCCATGCCCAGATTATGGTAGCATGATCTTCTTGTGTTCTGGGGTCAAGGGTGGGTTTTGTGCGTCAAAGGTTATGTGGAAAGAGCCTGAGGATTGACCATCTTAAAGGGTTTGAAGCTCAGTCATTGGGGTCAAGGTGACCTTGAGGTGAGAAATTTAGTTTGTGAAGTTTGAGTTTCTAAGGCAATGCCGTCCCCTGACCATCGGTGAATTGGAACAGGCTAGTATCACATACAAGGTGTTCAAGGAAAGGATAGTAGTTCAGGGAGACATTACAACAAGCTAAATACACACTTGCCAAATAACTATCCGGTAGCTTGGGCTCTGAGTGTTGAAGTTGCACCAGACATAAAAATTCACGGAGGCCAGGAATTTGCTATCATTGTGATGTCTTTATAGCTCCGCTTATATCCTATTTCAGGGGTTCAAGAGTGGTATCCATTATGATCAGGTTAGCTTCGCTATGTGAAAAGGGCTTTTTCTCAAACACAAAACTACACAATCAAGGTGCTTTTCAACAAGTAACAACCCACTGCACCAAATCCTGCCCCTCCTGCCTCACTCCTATCTTACCACGAGGGCCGATGAATGTCAGCTACAGTGACATGAGCTTGCTGAGTGGCAACCATGAAGCATGACACTCCCCTTGCAGCCTCAGAGGATATTGTAAGGATATATGGTGACCAGGTCCCACACCCACATTCTTAGAATGTAAATGGAACTCTTCAGACAATTGTTCAGATCCCCAATTAGGCTCTGCTTCCAAAAACTATGTTGTTGTCTCTCCCTATTTTTGTCCCTGAGCCCATTGTCTGTGATTCCATTTTACCACAAATAAGGTGGGCAGAGGAGTCAGACAGCTGAAAATACTCTATGCATGCTCAGGATATTTGAGTGTGCAAAAGTTCCCAGCTGAATGTCAGACACAGATGAATGGGGGTTCTGCTCACACAGTTATAGACACAGCTGTACACATGGAAATCCTACAGCCACCACAGAGCAGGTGGCTAATGAGACAGAAAACAGGCCTATCATGAGACGGTAGGGAAGCAGAAATAGCTGAAGCTTTTTAGCACCAGGGATCCTGGACTGCTTTGGGGCTAAGGGAAAGGCTAGCAAGGGCTTAGGCCAGTAGCACCCTTCACTCAAAAGCTCATGCACTTGAGTTCATGCACTTCCAATATTGCTAAGTAAATGAGTAGCTTTCAAAAGATTCTTCAAGAGGTAAGATGTTCATCCCAAAGCAAATCTCATAGCTTGACTATGAGAAATGTAACGTGAAACAAAATGCAGGGACTGTTGAGTAAAATAGGGCTTTTCTTTGACTTAGATTCTTATGGTTACTATGTGCACATCAATGCCTGGCTCTTTATTCAATGTGTCTAATGGCTGCTACACTTGTAGCATCTTTTTCTCAGAGACCTCCTCTCCAGGAGTAGACCCTGAAGATAGTGAAGATGCAAAGAGACCCTAGCATAGTGTGGTGCAGAGACTGCTCTGGACAGCATTCCTGACGGCAGCTACCTCCTGGTTAAGCAGGGGTTGCTGCTCTCAACCTGCAAGCTCCTGGATGGGTTCTTTGCTGTCTTCCTTTACTATAAGAAGAGTTTTTGTAGAGCTGAGCACACCTGTGCAGGTGTACCAATGGCTACCTGGATGGTTCACTCCTATTGGGTTATTGAATAATTGCTCCCTGTTCTGGGTCAAGGTTCTCCATGCAGGAATAGATAATAGAATGAATTTCCTTCAGAGGTGCATGGCACCTGGACTGCAGGAGGGAGCTTGTGGCCCTGAGTGAACATGGTTTTAGATGACTGAACCTCAGGACTTGTGGGAAACGCATCTCTGGGCCTAACGAAGAGGAGCACTATGGGAGAAAATACACGAGATGTTAGTAAAGGGAAAAGAAAATGTTTCCTACCCATTAAAGCAAAAATCAAGCACTGAATCTGACCCCAGACGTAGTGGAGAATAAGAAAAGCCAGAAGTGCTAGGCAGATTGCTAACTCCTGTGAGGAAACAAGAAGAAATCTTCACTGACATCATCATAAATCATTTCTTCAATATCATTTAGACAAACTTTTCATCTTGAGTGGGAGACCTACTACACATTCCTCATGGGGAAACTGCACTGTTGCTAAAAAAATAACTCTTCCTCTTCAAATATAAACATCTCCATTAAGTTTCTAAAATAACTAGTCCATCTCATTGGTTTTGTTTTTTTTAACCTAAAACTAGCCCTGAAAAGGTTAGTTTGCAAACATTTACTTTTGTCACTTTATATCTGTGAATAAAGATCAGGAATAAAAAGCATGGCACCCCTAACTCTCCAAAAGGATGTCCTTTTGTTACTTGGAAAGACCGGGGTCCACTTGAGCAGATGCAATAAAATCATGCTGTTTGCTGTCCACTGTCACCTGATGACCCAAGAGTACAGACCCACAGATCTGAGTGACAGCTTATTACCCCACACATTTTTTAGGAATCCCAAGGCTGGGGCAACTGACCTTCTCCCTCAGAAAGAAACTGTAGATGTGTTCTATTGACTTTTGGGGACATGCAAACATGTCCCTCTAAGTGATAGAGGGAAGAATTGGACTTCAAATTTTCATTATAAAAGTAAAAGTTTGTCAAGCTGTATTATCAAATTTTCTTAAGCTATCAAGATCCCCTATAAAAATTGGGGAAATGAGTTTTCCTGCTCCCAGTTTAGGAAGCACAGGATCGAGCCAAGACTATCTAGTCACTGAAAGCACATTCCTGGAATCCCAGATTATTTTACAGAGCAAATTCAAACCAATTCAAATATTGGTGATTGCTAGGAATGACTCCAAAGCAGGTGATTAGTCTTTGCAAACCCAAGAGGAGATCCTACAGGCCAAGGAAGGGCAAGTGGATTTCACAAAGAACCAGAGACACCAGTCAGCCAGCCACTGCAGATAAAACAGCTTTGCACAGCATGCCTAAGGGCTACACTTGCTTGTACCCCATTCCCTGGGATGAGGTCACCATGGGCAACAGGAGTTCAGATAGTCTGGTTCTTTGTTTATTCTTGGGTAGAATGCCTAAGTGCAAGCCAGCATTGGAGGATGAGATATTGCGGCATTTCCCAAAGGCAGCAGTTTCTCCCTGCTCCTTAGAAAGCCCTGCTCTCTGGCTGTGCCTATTCCAGCAGCATTGTAGCAGGTGTGGGAAAGCATTCACATAGAAGAGCTTCAACACTAACCTGAGAGGTAGCTGCAGGTGAACTAGATTCCTTACCACTCACTGCTGCCTGCTCATTGGCTGCGGCTTCTGCCACTCCTGCCGACTGCACACTGGAATCCTCAGCACCAGGAGGCCCTATTTGTCCCAGACCTTCACTCCCAGGGGTGCAAGGTGGGTTGGAGATGGTTTTCCGGTTTTGGCCTTTATACCAACTAGGGTAAAACAAGGGATCCGTGGTTTCCGCTGCTGAAGGGCCTGGAGTTTCAGACTGTGTGGTTTGCTGAGAGCCAATGGGCACCACCTCCCCCTTAATCAGAACAGATGGGGTCACAAGTAAAAAAGAAGAGGAAAAAACAGTTGGTGTTATTTCCCTTTGGGTTTGAACACCCTGAGCTCTCTGGGGATGCTGGGATGGAATGCTCGCCATAGTGCTGTGCCCTGATGGGCATCTATGTGCGTCTGTGCTTGCCTTCCACTAGAGGGTAGCCCAGATAGGGGGAGAGCAGAAGCCTCCCTTGAGTGAAAAGTTGTTTATCAGATATTACAAATAGCAAGTTATTGACCAAAATTAGTCCTGGCATTATATGTGGGTCCCCAAAACCGAGTTTTAAAAACCTAAGTTACCAAACCAAACCCTCACTGATGTCTGCTCTTCGTTCAATGCCACTGGAAGGCTCAGAAGTTCAAGGCTCTGGGAAATAAAAAGTGCTTTATCTCTTATTCTGGATTTCCAGGGAGACGGAATACAGAATGTGATTCCATGTCTGGGTTCTCTGTGGATTTTGGCTCCGTCAGTAATCTCAACCCACAGAAGCAGAACCAAGGCCCCTCTTTGATGACCCTGCCTTTCCTGCCACACTCAGTGACTGGGATTCTGTGCACTGACGCATCCTGGAAGTTAACATAAAAGCCCCAAACTGAACGGTGGCTTTCTAGAAGCCCAGGTCAACTGACCAGACACTATTTTCCTAGAATACCTTTAACTGCACTTTTTTCAAACAACAACCAAATGGAAACCCAAGCTTTATTTGCTTGTCCACTTAAGGAAAGATGAAGCTGTGTTTCAGGGTAAGCTATGTGAGCTCCTGTGGTTTCTCTATTTTCTTCTTCTATTCTGTACAGGAGGTTCAATATTCTGAAGTAGAATCACCTTCATTTCTCACCTCGAATAATTTATGTAATGTACTCTATGTTTTCATTGACTATGGAACAAAAGGTAGACTACATTTACCAAGAGCAGCTCTTATTACACACACACACACACACACACACACACACACACAGACATTCTTAACAGAGATTGTTTTCCCATGAGCAACTCTTATTTCACAGACAGATTCTCTCTCTCTCTCTGTCTTTCTCTCTCTAAAAGTGGCAAGTCTTGCCAACCAGCTATAATGGCCATGAACATGCTGAATCACCTAGAGGGCATTTCTCCATGACATTGTGACTGTCCTGACCTCCTCTTGTCTCACAGTAGAATAAGTTGTTTACAGTATTTGGCAATGAGGCAGTTTGGCAGGAAGGGACTAATGAATGGTTACCTGTGTCACCGGGACATCTGCAGCAGGTGCCATGGATGAAGGCGGTTCTGGAGAGGAAGTAAGGAGTGGCCCAGAGGCAGCCTGGAGCTCTGAGGAGGGCTGAGAGGGCTCTGAGGCTTTTTCCAGGCTTTCCTCTTCCCCTGATGACTCTATTTGAACGCTTTCTACCTCTTCTCCTTCTGCTGCATCTGCTCCTTCTCCTTCGTCTTCTATTTCTCCTGCATCCTCTTCATCTTCCTCTTCTAGTGAGATAAGATCTTTTTAAACTTTTTATAACTGCCATGGTAGCCATGGAAACAGTTAATAACTAGCACCTACAGCCTAGGGCTAGAGAATTTCCTTCAATTGACACTAGACAATGGTTCAGGTGTGCCATGTTGAAAGCTTGTGCTTCTTATATTCTCCACGGCAGGGCAAATGTGAATGAATCGTTGACTTGCTTTCATCCCCAGTACAAAGCTGCCCCTGCCCTCCCCCATACAACCTACTCACAGAGCCTGCTTATATTTCTATCACAGCCACCATATCTGCAAGCTTCTGTACAAAACATAGTAATTTGTTATGAAGATGAACCTCTAAACTTGTGTCTGTGGAGCTGGTGCAATTTCATGGCATAGCTAGTGGTCTGGCCCACTGCTGTTTTCGTGTCTCTTTTATATCTACAATGAGTCAAGGCAGTCAGAATTGGTTATCAGTTCCAGAGTTATTGACTCCCTTTCAAGTGTTTCAGCAGGATAGTTTTAAGAGTGGGAATTCTGAACCAAGAGCAGAAGACACAGTTACAGCTCATGGACCCTATCCTATTTCCATGCTAAGACTGATTTTGTGACTTGTCACCATCTCATCCTCTGATGTCTGATCAAATTTCTGTGCTGTCATACCTAGCCCAGATGTCTTCTGTGTTTTCTTTTTGACTCATTTTTATCTTTTTTCCTTTACACCACTATGATTCATACTCAGGTACAGTTGAAGTTGAGTTATCACCATTTATGCCAATATTTAAGGATTTAATTACCCACAGTCAAACCCTTGATAATGGCATTGAAACACTATAAACAGTCAAAAGCTATATGATCCTGTGGTGAGGCTGAGCATCACATGGCTTGTGACCCCCGTGATCACAGATGGCTGTCCTGCAGGATGTTGCACATTCCCCCATTCCTCTCACTCAACAGCTTTCCCATAATGCAATTCGAAACAGATAGTCAAAGAAATAACACACCTCTGTAAAAATCAATTTCACGTATAATCTTTTCTTCTCTATTGAGGTTGACTGTGAAGTGGGTCATGATCTCATAGCCTTGTTCTACGTTCTCCATCTGAAATGCCTTGGATGCTTCCGCGATCCTGCATCAAAGACACTTGTCATTTTCTGTCACTGTTTAATGTCTGATAGCCTTGGGTAAAAATGAAAAATGTGCTGTTAAAGCAAATAGAAAATACTCACTTTTGTAATAGGGTCTTGGCATTCTGTGAAAGCAAGAAAAATAAACTTACTTGGCTTCTTTTCATGAAGCTGGTGAGATTTAATCCCTCTATTTGTGACTTAGAATCTCCTAGCTGGATTTCTAAATGCCACCCTCTCTACTTAAGCAATACCAAATGGATAAAGTTTTTAGTTAACAAAGTAGGTTTTTAAATGAAATGTGGATAAAATACTGAAAATGTGATCACAGATAATTCTCAGCACCAACCTTTTGGGTCTGTGTTCTTGGTGCCAAAAAGCATTACCTGCAGAAACACTGCCATTTCCGGCTCATCCATGAACTGGATCCCTGACTCCACCAGCTTTGATACGTTCTCCAAGTGATCAGAGTACTTTCTGATAAGAGCTCTGACATGCTCCAGTTTCTCCTCTTGTGTTCGGGTGATGGCTTGGGTCATTTCAGTCTTCCTCTCTTCCAGGATGCCATATAGATAATCAAACTTCTCACACAGGTCCTGCTTCTGCTTCCTGCAGCATTCCTGTTAGTTGGGTTAGCCAATGTTAGCAACTGTATGTGAGGAAGTCTAGTGGAAAGATCATCTGGACATCTTAGGAGACAAGAGCATCTACCTATGGAAGATATGGAGTTTTTCTTTCCCCTTCAGCTGTCCCTGTAGGTACAGACACTGTGGTAAAACTTCAAAAGCCTCATTTTCAACAATTTGATATTTAGGTAGACATCTAACACTGAATCATATTGGCTAAATAAGTCAATAATCTCTCTCTGTATTTATGTGTTCATATCCATGTGTGTGGACCTATGTGTACCAATGCATGTGTAAGTGTGTGCACATGTGTGTGGAAGCCAGAGATCAATGCTTTGTATCTTTTTCAGTTTCTGTCCACCATATTTTTAGACAGTATCTCTGCTTCTTCAGTGCTAAGATCACAGTCCCTTTGCCATGTTTGACTCTGTGTGAGCCTGAGGATTTGAACCCAAGTCCTCAAGCTTGCAGAGCAAGAAATTTTCCAACTGAGCCATTTCTCCAGCCCTGGACTTTTGGAGAATTTCATAGAAATTATAACAGGCTTTACACTATATTTTATTTAGATTGTACAGACTACATGCCATATTTGGTGAGGGGAGGTAAAGAAAAATTACATTACTTCTTAATTTGTGCATACTTTACTCTCTCTTCTAGAGCTTCCCACAGGCCTCTGAATTTGGGATTCCCTTCTCCAAACCAAGCAACTGGAAGAAGCCATATTCTCTTTTTTTAGACTATGTTTCTAATCATGCTTTTTCTGTTATGGATCCAAAGTGTAAACAATAATGTTTAACCTTTGCAACTGGCTTTTTCCCACAATCAGGGTCTACCTTTCCTTTGTAACATTCTGCCTCCCTGTATCACATAACTTGTAGTCCAGCAAAAAAATCAACCACTTCCCTTCCTGGCTCTTGCTCTTCCTTAATTTACGATGTCCTTCCCTACATCACAGAGACAGCGTGACATCACCTCGAAGGCGTCCTTGGAGTACCACTTCTTACATAGAGCCTTCTTGGAGCTCTAAGGCAAATTGTCATCATTTAACCTTCTGAAACTCCATAATGTGGCACCTATGGCACATATCTGCATCTGGAGGTGCATCTATTTACCAAGCACTGTTGAAGAGAGGGGGATGTTGCAAGAAAGGCTGTCCCTCAGGTCTGACTCTCACATGCATTGTGTGGTTGATGCCTCAGAAGTCTGTGTTGAATCATCACTAATTAGCCCTCCAGCTGGCCCATGCCTTAGCCTTTGCTTTCTCCAGCTCTAGTGAGCTTGGTGTGTGTGCCAGGGTCTTAGGATCTGACTATCTCTGGGTTCAGGCTTCATGGCTGAGAGCAGGTTGTACGACATAGTTACTGCACCTAGCACTCCTGCCCTGAGAACTCAAGTAATTTTTGTCTGACACCTCTGACCTCACCATGAGCTCCCTCTGGCCCTTGTCTCATGCTCTTTCAGCTTAGTAAACCCTGTTCCCTTTGTTACCAGGCCTTGATTTCTTATGCTTACATACATTTATTAACTATCAAAACTATAGACATCATTGGGAATAGGCCCTGGATCTGCCCACGTGTCCATGGAGAAGTATGAGCCACAAATACACACAAAAAGCCTTCATCCCACAGCCCACAGCCCCTTTAGATTTATTTTACTGTATGCATGCTTTGCCTGTGCCCAAGGAAGTCAGAAGAGGGCTGGATCCCATGGGACTGGAGCAACAGATTGTGAGCCACCATGTGGGTGCTGGGGATTGAACCGAGGTCTTCTGTAAGACTATCCAGTACCCTTAAGTACCAAGCCATCTATCTATGCCTAGTAGTTTCTTGGTATATGGTTTGGTTTTTGGTTTGCTTGCTTGAGATTGTTTTTTAGTTTGTTTTGTTTTTCTAGTTGGGATCTCACATTGAAGATTAGGCTATCCTGAAACTCACTATGTAGCCCAGGCTGGCTTCAGACTTGTAGTGATCCTCCTGCTTCAGTCTCCCAAGTATTAATATTACAGCTTTTTCTGGGGTGGTAGTGGTGACAAGGTTTCTTATAGCTCATACAGGCCTTCAATGCACTACGAAGTCAGCACTGGCCTCAGACTTCCGTTTCTCTTGTTTCTCTTTCAGATACTGGGTTACAGGTACTCACCACCATCACCATTCCTGGAAATCTGTTTCACTTTATAACCCAATGCAAGCAGGAGATACTGTAGTTGGAACTATTTAGATAATAAAGCTGCCATCTACGCACTGGTTCATTCAGCAAACAACTCTTAAGTATGTTTTTTCTGTCCCGCAAGTACAGAGACGAAAAAATGAATTAAACATAGTTCCCGTTCCTCAATAGCTCACAGTTTACTGAAGGGAACTGGGGGCCAATCATGTGATGTAATATAAAAGGCCAAATAAAGGAAACATGCTAGAGATCTTCCAGCAGCATAGGTGTAGAGCATTAGGTCAACCCTTAGTGTAGACCGGATATTCAAGGGAACCAAATGTGTTGACTCAGGGAAAACTTCCTAGAAGTGGCATGAGACAAGGGTCAGAGTGAGGTCATGGTGAGGTCAGAGTAAGGAATGAAGGTGGGGAAGGAAGAGACAAAAATTAGTGTGTTGTCAGGTGTCAAAGTAATCAGACAAAGGGTCCTCTTAGATATAGACATTATTGGCTGGCCAAAGTTGCAACTGAAGCCTGGCAGTAGTCTTCCAGTGAAGCCATCTCTTACTATAGTACCTTTCGTCCAAAGCTCACGGGCAACCCTGTGCCCAGCGTGGTCCTGAAACTTGTCTCTGGTATTTAGAAGTGCCGCTGCTTACGAGGACTGTTGCCAGCTTGCTCCACTATGAATTGAGCCCTAGCAACACGAATAGCGCATGTGACAGTAAGATGTGATCTGATGGAAAGCCTGCCTTTTACCACAGTGTTCTTGTCTGCCATTTAATATACGGAAGAGAACGTCCAAGTGTGTGTCAGTGAACGCTAAATCATTTGTGATGAGAGTCTAGTGTATTTTCTCAAACCTAATAAAGAATACGACCCTTCTTTCAACCAAATAAATGTAATTAGTGGTTTAAATAAAATAACTAAGTGTATTTGTATGATTTTTGACTACGAATAGCATTTTATTTCTATTTTGGTTTTTAAGTCATTTTCACAGATTGGATTTTAATGAAATTTTTATCATCTTAGCAGCAATGGTCACTCATTTATACCTCACAGTGTGGGAAGTACTACTACATGCTTGATCTATGCTTTAATTGTGTCACTGATACTTTGAAAAGCTCTTACAATTCTACTGGTCCCACAGTAAGAATGGTATCATTATTCATCCAGTATAGATTCAAACCCCTTAACTTGTCTCCTTCAGTGATTTGATCTTGAAATGGTGTAGTTGTTAGAAGTCACCTGCTGCAAATGAACTCACTCCCATGGAAGCTAAAACTCAACAGTGACCTCATGTTAAGGGACTTTCTACCATCCATTCCAGGGGTCTGACCACGACAGAACACTGAACTCATAAGTCTCCCGGCTGTGCCCATCCTTGTAAGTATCTTGACAAAATTTACATAAAGTGAGGAAACAAGGGTCCATAGGGAGACACACCATGTTCTCTCTCCTGCTTGGGTCCTAGTTTTGAATTTGTGGGTTTGTACATTTAATTTGAAACGTCTGTAGGAAGTTCAAATGGGCCTGTGAGAAAAGAGGGGGCCTTAACAGGGGGAGAGGATAATAGATCACATGTATGGAGTTAGAGGAGGAGTATTGGGAATGGAAAGGTTTAGGCAGGGATGGGGTATGGGGTGGGTGTTGGGGAAAATGTCAACAGAAACTCAGGATGTATGAAAAAAATTATGGGAACCTCTACTGCTTTGTCAGTTAATTTTAAAAATATAATCAAAACTGAGTTTGGACAGAGGTATCCTAGTGGGTGGATAATGCTGCTCTCAGAAGTGGGGTCCTAGGTTGTTAAATAAAAATCCTCATGCCATATGTGGGACACTCGCCTATGTATTGTTAGGGAGGCCTCGAAGGCTCCAGAAACCATACAGGCTAGTGCATTGCTCTTGATTGTCCCCCAGAACTAGATGGTAAGATCTTGTTGCTAAGACACCATATGCTTTGGTTGCAGGACATAACCAAACTGAAGGCTCCCTCCATGCTGGGTAGTTTTCACAGGTGCTGTTCACACTGCTGGGAAAGAAAAGCCATTAACAGCCCTACCCATTGGTGGACCCTGCACACTATAGTCTTGACCTAAAAGTCAAAGTGTGCTCACTGGGGCATTAGTGGCATACCTGCTATGAGAGTAACTAGCCTTTCTTATTGGAGTTTAGGGAACTTATGACTGGTACTGTAAACCTGCTCTAAAGGTCATGTGGTCATAAGCCCTAGGTGGAAACCTCCTATTCTATTATTGTTTACAGAATGGACATGTTGTCAAACTGCTGTCCAAAATGCATGTTCATAACTATAGGTTAGACTACTGGGCAGTAGTTAAATCAGATACTCGTAACAGGTCAAATTGCTGAGGATCAGTGATAGTTGATTGCCTGGCCCTAAATGGGGCATCAATAATACCTCCCGCCCCCGAGGCTCAGGGGCAGACGGAAGGAATGAAAGAGTCTGAGAGTGGGAAGAGTGCTATAGAGTGCTGTGTTCCAGACATGACATGGCCAGTACACTCCTGAACTCAGAGAAGCTATGGCTACTTGTCAAGTCCTGCCCAAGGTGGAGCTGCTAACATCCCTGCATAGGGAGGAGGGCTCAGGAGTCCTCACCCCTAGCTTCGGGTCTACTGGCAGGTAATGGTTGCTAGGGGTGACAGTCAAATTTTTGTTTTTTAGTAAATAGCCCCACACCTAGGTTCATGCAAGCAACCTAACAAAATACATTCATAAAAGAACAGAAAGTCAGAGAAGGTGTTGAAAAAAGAAAATATCCAGATGAGTGACATTGGGAGGCAGATATCATTATACATTATATACAAGTATGAGATTGTTAAAGAATAATTTTTGGACTTTTTTTGAGACAAGTTTTCTTTATGTCGTTCTGGTTGTCCTAGAACTTGATGTTTAAACCAGGCTGCCTCAAACTCATAAAGATCCACCTACCTCTGAGTGCTGGAATTAAAAGCATACGCCACCATGCTCAATCCAAATAACAAAAAGTTTAAAACTTACATAAAATGCTTATGAATTGCGAATAGGCCACTTAATTAGATCTACTGTGCTGAAAGTGGGCTCTCAACACTCTCTAAATACTTCAGATTTATGTTCCTTCGTTCATTGTTTCAACAAAATTAACTCACTGCTTACTATCTACTGGGCAGCATGCAACCTAAACCCTGCTGTGGTGCTCCAGTGTTCAGGAAGCAGTGAGTATAAAGTTCATCATAAATGATAAATGCAAAACAAAATGATTATATTTTAAAATTTCTAACAGAAAAGGGGCATGCTCTCCTCTTGCTTGTTTGACCTGTATATAATTCTCTGTAGCCTGTAATATAAGACAAATCCGTCCCTGAAATGTGGAATTCAGCCTTGCTCCCTGGAATCATAAGACTGGAATGGGAATGCTTTGATAACTTATGGTTTTCAGGCAAACCCAATGGTTCACATGGGGAATGCCCTGGGAAGGCAGGCCTCACTTATCTATTCTGTCCCCTCTGAGACTGGCTTGGTGCCTTCCTATCTCTCTCAGGAACAGGACCTCAAGAATGCTGTCAACAACTGATAGCCTCTGGCTATCAATTTGCTTAGTTTAGTTAAGGAACAGGTATGTGCTGACCAATAAAATAGTCAGTCATTCTGAATCCAATCCTCTCTGTGTCTCTAAAAATATGGACCTGCAATACTTTCAACAGTAAACCTGTAGTAACCTGAAAAATAGAATGGGGAAAATGTAGTCTTCATGGGGGGGAATGCAGATTTCTTTGCATCTATGTGTCTGAAAATAGGAAAATTTGAAGGACAGTTATTATCTGAAAAAGCATGATTACAACCATATTTCTCTCTTCTTCACAAAACCTTATTCTCTTCAAAGATTTACTCTTGTTTTTTATCATAGTACATTATCTACTTCATTAAATAGACTAAGGACAATTTCCCATTATTCCTCCTCTGCTTCTTCACATAGTAATTGAATTAAGATGCATAGTTCGTGAACTTTTAAGTTTATTCTTTCATATAGTTTCCATTTTCTTCTTTTTGATGTCTCTACTTTCTATAGTGTGTGTGTGTGTGTGTGTGTGTGTGTGTGTGTGTTGTGACCTTGCACCTGCATATGTGTGCTTAGTCAGTGAACTTATTCCACTTCAAATGTACTAGATACTGGCCTTGATGTACTAGACAAGCGCTTCTGATGGCAAGCCTCTGGCTGCAGAGTGACTCTTCTCCTGTCTGCCACAACTATTGTATGTTCTGGCTTCTTAGAAAAACAAATTGAAGTTGTCTATAATACTTTAATAAAAATATAGTTCCCCCCAGCTCCAAGGAGAACCAAGCATGGATGCAATAAGGGAAGAGATATTTCACAAAGGAAATATTACCCCGCACACAGTGATATGGTAAGAGGAGGACAGGTGGAATATTTGTTTCTAGCCAAGGCTGAAACCCCAAATGAAAAGAAAAGCACATCAGGTACCCAGCTATTCCCATGGAAGTAGATAGGCAGTCTTCAATATTGACCTAAAGCCATTAACGGGCTGTAGCCTTTATAGAAATGTCAAAGTGGGGAGGCTCTGTTTTCAGCCATCTTTATCATTATCGGCAACGATACAAAACAAGATGTGCAAGACTGTGGAGATGGCTCCATGGGGAAAATGCCCCACAAGCCTGAGGACAAGAGTTTGTATGCCCAGAACAAAGGAAAAGCTGTGCAGGCATGTCAGATCATCTGTAATCCCAATGTGTGTGAAGCAGACTGGACTCCCTGGAGAAATCTTGCTTGTCAGACAATGCAGAATGGTGAACTCTGGGCTCAGTGAGAGACATTGCCTCAGTATATAAGATAAAGCAACTGCTGAAGATACCTGATACTGATCTTGGCTCTCTACGTACACATGTTCACAGATACACCCACACACATAAGAACACACAAACACACCCATGTAAACTACATGCACAAATGTATCATATGCAATTGCAAAATAAGCTTTGTATTGAAAAACAATAGATTGTTTTTTTATCCAAAGAATGCTTATGCTAAGCTGGCTGACCAGCAAGCCCCAAGAACATATGTATCCCTGCCTCCCCTGATGCTATGATTACAAACATGTACCACCATTCCAGTATTTTCTTATATAGGTTCTGAGTATCAAACTTGTGTCTTCATGCTTGCATGACACACCCTTTACCAACTGAGCTGTCTCCCCATCCTTAATGGTTGGATTCATATTGGTTCATTTTTCTACAAAATTAACATTACATATTTGTTTAACTCTCTAAATCCTCTGCTAAAATAAACATTTCCCAAAAATTCAGTACTGTTTTGGAATATTAGTTAAAGATGTGTTACATCCTTTATGCTGTGGAATATTTGTTTAATGATGCAAAGATGCATTGTATTCTTTTATGTCGCATTTGCTTAACTCTGTAAAGCTGTGTTACTTTGCTTATCTAAAACACTTGATTGGTCTAATAAAGAGCTGAACATTCAATAGCTAAGCAGGAAAGGGGGATAGGTGGGATTGACAGGCAGAGAGAATAAATAGGAGGAGAAATCTAGACTCTAAAACAGAAAAATGAGAAGAGGGAGGAGGGAGAAAAGGAGGGGAGGAGGACGCCAGAGGCCACTCACCCAGCCACACAGCCACCTGTGCAGTAAGAAGAAAAGCAAGATACATAGTATAAAAAGGGGTAAAAAGCCCAGAGGCAAAACATAGTTAAAGGGAAATGGGATAATTTAAGTTAGAAAATCTGGCTAGAAACAAACCAAGCTAAGGCTGGGCATTAATAAGTAAGAATAAGTCTCCGTGCATTTATTTGGGAGCTGGGTGGCTAATCTCTCAAAAAGGGAAAAAACAACTACAGTGTCATTTAGTTTAGGACATGGCTATTCCCCAGCATTATTTGAACACAATGAAGTATCCAATAAATTATTGGGGAATAGGAGTTTGGAAGATGATCAAATGGCTACAATTTGACTCCACTCAAAAGCTTCCATTTTATCCTGTCCCAGAGAAATAAATACTTAAATGTATGCTTCATATCTCTACTTCATATACTCCTCAAGATATGGAAACCACTTAATCTCAGGACAATTTTTAAAAAGATGATGTGTATAGTAGTGACAGGCCAGATGGCATAGTTGATGATATCCCTCTGACTCTACAGCCCCAAGACTCTGTGACTTAGAAATGTGGAGATAATTCTGATGCTCCCCAGGCTACAGCATTCCTCTCTCCATTTCTATCCTGTTCCAGAGTGTCATGTACAGAAGTAAGACAAAACATCAGACCCAGTTTAGATATGTGCCATAGGCATGACAGGAAAATTCTAAAGTGATTGTGACCACTGCTTTTGCCATGTAAGGAGCATAGCTCTGTGTCCAAAATAGCCTGAAGATAAAGCCTTAGCCTGGCCACTTGTCACTGAGCACCTGTGGCTCAACCACCCATTCATGTCTCCACCACATTCCTACAGCATTCATCTGGACACACTTGTGCAGAAATGTAGCTGCCTGTAGGATACAGTACTTCAAAAGCCCCACTCCTCTCTCCCCCCAAAAAGAAACAGAAAAACAGACAGCAAGTTAATAATCCTGAACAAAGAACCATCTTAAGTGGAATGAGGTTAGTAAGCCCACACATTCATTTCAAGGCTCCAGTTATGAACACTTGGAAGTCCCATGAACACAGCCAGAATGTTTCTAGTAAAGGAACAAATTGGACCTTTAGGCGCAGGCTGGGCTTCAGCCCCTGCCCTCTCAGCCTGTGTCCTTGCTCATCAAAACAGCTCTGTACTGGCCAGGGGTCTGGGGGTCTCCCAGCTGATGCTCACTCTGTTGAATTGCATTATTCCTTCCTGGGAGGAGTAGGATTAAGTGATGTGTGGCATTTAAATAATGCTTGTTGTTGATGGCCTTGGCATCAGGGTCTTTCTGGGTTATAGGTGAACAAGGTGGATGCTTGCCTGGTCCCAAGCCTTTTAAAACAGAGCATGGGAATCATAGCTAAAGATCTGGGAGTGGCTCTGAGGCAGCCCCACCTCCGCATGAAACATCCAAACTGATGAGAAAAAGCCATGCTTATCTACACCACATCTGCTCATTCACACCTGGTGTTACCACATCTGCTCATTCACACCTGGTGTTACCACATCTGCTCATTCACACCTGGTGCTATCACATCTGCTCATCCACACCTGGTGCTATCACATCTGCTCATCCACACCTGGTGTTACCACATCTGCTCATTCACACCTGGTGTTACCACATCTGCTCATCCACACCTGGTGTTACCACATCTGCTCATTCAATACTTGGTGTTACTAGTCATTAAAAATAGGGGACTCACTTTACAAAGGTGGGAAATGCGGAAATACATAAGTAAAACATTGAAAATTGCCAGGCATGATAGCTTAATTCCAGCATTGAGGAGTCTGAGAAAGGATATTACTTTGAGTTCAAGGCCAGCCTGGGCTACAGAGTGATAACCTGGATAACCTGTCACAAACAAATAAACAACAAACAAAAGCCCCAACCCCAGTTCTATTTAAAGGTCCTAGCCCCTTTGAATTTTCCTCCCATGAAAGTACTGGTTAGTTATGAATATAGGCATTCAAAACTGTCCTCAACCTCTTTTTATTTTTATTTTATTATTTTTATGTTGGCTAGTTTGGAACTTCTAATCCCCCTTCCTTACCCCTCTGAGTAGCTGAGATTATAGGTGTAAATCACCAAGCCTGGTGTGAAGATGAATACTTTAAAGATGACCAGTATCTTAATGACTCAGAAAGAGTGATAGTACATCCTCTCCTAGGACTCCATGGAAATACTTACAGAAGTGTGCCGTGTTGGGTGTTGACATTACCAGTAAGAAAGGGGTGAAGATCCTGACCTCGGTTGCTCTCCATACTGTCCCTCACTAAACCCTTTCTGCTGAATTAGCTTTAAACCTGTACTTTCTTGGCTTGTTCTCAAGTGTAACTAGAGATGGCTGCTTCCGCTGAGGCCCTGGCTACCCTCTGTGACAGATGACCTCTTGTCCTTCCTAAACACAGCCAGAGTCAAGTTGTTTCTCTTGCCCAAGACTACAGAGCTCCACTGGACTCTCCACACATCTTTTGATGTCTTTATCCCAGACAGGAAGCTGTCCTCTCCACAGAGACATCTCTGAGGAGGCTCCACAGTCCCTGGAGGTGGCTAGAGATTGTCTCACTCAACACAAGCCACAGGCTATTTATACACACCAGACTCAGTGTAGCCCCACACTGGAGTGCTGATTCATTGTAAATAAGTAGAGAGAAAGCAGTTTCCATTGCTCATTTCTAAATCTCTTAGGCTCTTCACGAAGAGAAAATATCTCTTCTGTAAGTGAAGCTCCCTGTACCAACGATATTTTCAGTAATATTAATGCGTTGAGGAAAGGAAATTGATTTTAATGATGTGTAAATCTAAGATGGGATAATGATAACTAATGAAGTCTTGAAGCCATCCTCTAGGACATACTCAGTTTTGTATAATAGACTTCATCTTGGTAATAGAAAAGTAATGCCAGGTAAGCATCTTCATGCCTGTAAGCTCTGCAGAATAAGGGAGATTGTCCCCTTTCATGCTTATAGTGACATGGATGGATCTTAATAACAATGCTTGGTTCAAAACACAAAGAAGCTACAATGCAATAGCAATAGCATTTGTGAAATTAGAAGGCATGTATACTTGATGGTTTGGATGAGAATGCCCCATACACCATATATTTGAATGCGCGGTTCCTGGTTTGTGAAACTGTTTTGGCAAGAATTAGGAGGTGCGACCTTGTAGAGGAGTTATTGGGGGTAGGCTTTGAAGTTTCAAAAGCCCACAGTGGGCCCAAAATCAATCTCAATCTCTCTCTCTCTCTCTTTCTCTCTCTCTCTCTGTCTCTTTCTCTTTCTCTCTCTCTCTCTTACTCTCTCTCTGCCTCCATCTTGCAGATAATGAGTAGGCTCTTAGCTAACAATTATCGTCATGGACTCAATCTCTGAAACTTTAAGCAAGGCCCTACCCAGTTAAATGTTTTCTTTTATAGGTTGTTTTGGTCATGGTGTCATTTCACAGTAATAGTAAAGTAATTAAGACACATCCATAAAAAAGCAATACATATTTTATGAGAATGCATGAACAGAATCAATCGAATATGTCAGAACTGTTATCTTTGGGAAATGAGGACAAAAGGAAATAATAGATAATAAGAGAGGCCTAGCACACAACAATGAAAACAGTGTACTGGAAACTGAGTGGTTAATACCCCAGCCTGTTAGCCACAACTGGGGAGATCTTTCTCCTCCTCAAGGTCCCCCATAATGACTGCTATAAGAGTTCAGGTGTGCAGGTCATGCTGTCGCAAGACTTCCTGAAGCACCATCAACATTTCTGAAGACTGTTCCGGTTTCCACCTGGAAGTCTTGTTAAATAATAGCAAGTGTTCCCTTCCATTGTTGGCAACTGATTTGTCTTGTTATTAATCTTTCAAAAGGAGTTGACTGAGGAAGAACACACACACACACAATAACTGCCTGAGCAACTGTAGTGAAAATCCACCTCATTAAGTTGTGAGGTAAGTTCCCTTAGGTGTCAGGAAGTGTTTCAGATTTATCAGGAAGGAAGCCATTCTATAGGGGAAGAATGGGACATTGGGATGGGGTTTCCAGCGTCTCCCTGAGCAACCATTCGTCCCTAGGAATATCAGGACTGGTTTTGATTCCCTGTGACTCAGCAGACTTACCTCAATAGTTTTACAGGTGTCCTCCAGCTGGCTGATCACTCCCTGGACTCGATCGTTGCTTCCCACAAGTACAGCGATGCCATCGCTGAGTTCAGACTAATGAGAGAAAAAAAGGACTCAAGATATTATGTGTTTCCTAACCATGGGTGATCATGGGCTGGTCATAGCATTATCCTTTGGGGTGGGGGGTGTTAATCCCTAAGGAGTAAACAAGCCCACAAACAAGCTGGTGGACTTCTCCTGGGACATATTCTTATTGTGGGTGAAGAAGGGGTTGGTGAGCTACATTTCCTGTTTAGGTGGGTGGAGTGGCTCAGTGATGCCCCTCTGGCCTCTGGCCTCTGGCCCCAGAAAACAAATCTGAGGATGAAGGTGGCCAAGGAAAGCCAGAAGGTTCTCAGTGTTAATTTAGGTGTAAATTAAGTCGCTGTAAAAGGTAGGTGTAGGTGTGGCCTCCCCATACAAAACCCAGGAAAGGTGATTAACTCAAAATGAATTGTCTAGTGCAACTCAGGACCAATTTTACTTGAGCAATAAATGCAGTAAATATTCATCTATTGGGCATATGTGTATTACAATCCTACTATGCTTATACAGTGAAGATACATATAATTGTTCACTAGACTGTCACACAACGTGTGACTGACTGGATTTAACAGATATTATAACTTCAAAATTCCTGTGTTCTTTTAACCCAAGAAGTATGCTTCTCTTCCTAGAACACAGAGTCACAAGGAGTGCCTAATGGGGACTTGGGAGATCCCTTTAGCCTAAACTTCTCCAGGTTACCGAGCAAGACATGCAACCAATTTGAACCTGAATTTTCTCACATTTAAAAGGAGAGATCTAGGCCAAGGTCTGGTAAACCTAGTTTTAAAGCATTTGAAAACTGTAGTTAACTCAATGTGAATTCAAGGCAGCCTGATCTACAAAGTGAGTTCTAGGATGGCCAGGGCTACCGAGGGAAACCCTGTCTCAAAAAACCAAAACGACAACAAAAAACAAAACCTGCAGTCATGTCTGCACGTGGAAGTTAACATTGGAAACTTGTAGTAAACGAGAAGCCACTCTGACCAAACAGGAAAGGCATGGAGATCCTACCCCTCCCACCGCCCGTTTGCCCACCCCATGGATTTCCAGGCCTCTGAGGGAAGCAGTCAAAGGCAGATACCACAGAGCTCTACCATACTAGGCCTTGGGGGGCACAGAGGGAAGAAATCAAAGTTAAATTTTTAAAAAGTTGAAAACAAACAATAGAAACAAATGCAAATCATGGTTACTAGTTGTGACCAGGGTTACAAGAGTTTGGCTTCCAAATTGATTTCAACTCTGGTCTTAGAGGTAAAATTGGAATCAACGATTGTAAGTGGAAGAACTGAGGTGCGACTGACCCTCTGACGCTTGTAACCCCTGTCTTTTCACAGAAGCGTGAGTTCTGGGTTGCTGCTGCAGGATGCAGGGTGGATGAGCTAGTGAGGAAGGAGTCTGTGTTGAGTCAGAACGAGGAGGCCTGGATCCAGTCCCTAGGGTGAGGGACAGGCACTACATCCAGAGTCTGCCTTTCAGTATCTGGCCCAGGCGCCTTGAAGACCAGCAGAGGGCACAGACCTCAAGTTGTTCTATACCTGTGTGCCATGGTTAAGACTCCCCCACACCAGGAGTGGGTGAGGGCAACGGAACATTTCATTGATGAACAATAAAAAATATTCTGGGACTGGGAGGGGAAAGTGAAGGCCATCTAATTCTTGTCTGTAGGTTAACTCTGAGTCGTCTTTAGCAGCTGGCACTTGGCTAGCAAGCAGCCCCCTTAACATGACTACCTATCCTCAGCAACCTTCACCGGTCACAGAAAGTGACCCGGCCCTTCTGCACGGTTTTCTGAACCTTAGCATTCTCCCTCTCTGACCAGCCCCACAACCTTGAGAATCGAACGTGAGACAAACCCCAAGACTGCTTCCTGTGGGGCCATACAGCCTCCCTTTTGCTGGGCTCCCCCTCTTTGGCTACTTGGAGCTTCTTCACTATTGCTTAGAAAAGGCTGGGGAGAAGGGGAATTGAAACTCCTACCTTCTGCCTCTGGAACACATGGGTAAGGGGAGCCACCTGGCAGTCCTTGTGGGCGCCAAACACTTTGCACAGGGAGCAGGTGGGCACCTCGCAGTTCAGACAGTAGATGTTGATCCGTTCCTCCTCGTGCTCTTCACACATGGGCTGGTCGGACTTTTTTTCTGGCCTGGGAGGAGACAGGAAGATAAATACAGAGCAGAGGGGGTGGCAAGCTTTGCAAACGCACTGGCCCTGATCCCGCCCCTCCCCACCAACCCCAACCAGAAAACTCCCAGAGCCTTTCACGTTCAATTTGCTGCTGACAAGCCTCTGTCTGTCTGAGCTGGGACTCAGGACCACAAACGCCCATGTACAGCATTCGTCAGTTACCATTTGCCACAGTTTTTATGGTGTGTTCGCATCAGTTCAAGATTTGAAAACTGCCCTGCGGAATTCCTGAAAGTTCAACACTGGTGTCTGGCCAGGCATTTGGAGCTCATTCTGGCTCTGTGCCCACAGGCAAGCTCACAGGTTTCTGGAAAGCTTACGATGGGTGGAGAGGAAGCTGCCGGTGAGCTACATCTCCAGTTGAGGCTGGAGGGATTGCGCAGTGCCGGCCCCTCCAGCCTCTGGCCCCGGGAAACCTTGCCTACCTACAAGTCAAATGATAGAAGCGCTGTGGAGAAACACAGCCAGGTCGCTGTGGATGTAGCCTCCTTATATAAAACCCAGAAAATTCGATGTGCCCCATATAAACACTGAGCTTGGGGCAAGCAACATGGCTCAGTGGGTAAGGGCACTTGCTACCTTCAGCCCAGGGCCTACACGGTGGAAAGAGAGAACTGACTTCTATAAGTTGTCTTCTCCATGAGCACACTCCCCATACACCATAAATAAATATGCATAAAAAGTGTAAAAGTTAATGATGGGAGGAGGTCCTTCTTATGCTGTGAATATATGTTTCTCTTATTGGCTTAATAAAATGCTGATTGGCCAGTAGCCAGGCAGGAAGTATAAGCTGAACTATCAGACTAGGAGGCGGCTGGGGAGAGGAAGGCAGAGAGGAGCCACCAGAGAGATGCTACTGAAAAAATAGGATCCCAGGCATTCTCTGGTAAGCCAAGACTATGGGGAGATACTTAGATTAATAGAAATGGGTTAATAATTAAGAGAGAGCTAGTCAATAAGGAGCCTGAGCCATTGGCCAAACACACATAAGCCTCTGTGTGTTTATTTGAGATTAAGGACTATGGGGACCAGATGGAACAGAAAGTCTGTTCACAAGTTAAGACTCAAACTGTTAGAAATATTTGAAAATAAAACCAAATTTAAAAATTTCTCATATTCCCAAATGTAGTTATTTAGAAACATCTCACTTTAGCCACTGTTTTTTTATCCAAAAAAAAAAAATTGAAATCCCCTTTTTAAAAATCACAGGGGTGGCCGGGCATTGGTGGCGCACGCCTTTAATCCCAGCACTCGGGAGGCAGAGGCAGGTGGATCTCTGTGAGTTCGAGGCCAGCCTGGTCTACAAGAGCTAGTTCCAGGACAGCCTCCAAAGCCACAGAGAAACCCTGTCTCGAAAAACCAAAAAAAAAAAAAATCACAGGGGTGTTTATACGAGGACCCATTTAGCAAGTGATGGGCAGTAAGAATTACAAGTATTAACTGTGAAAGTTTCGATTCAAGTATGTGTGTGGGTTACACATGTGCACTGAGTGATGTAGACATCATTCAGATGTGTAAAGAGGTAGTGTGATGTAAAACACACTCTCTGCTGTGAGTCATGCTTCCAGGTGTTTGAACACCCTGGTGTTGGTGTGTGGGATTGTGTAGCTGCAGTGCCAGATGCAGAAGGCAGGGGGCGTGGTGGTTCATCTCTACTATGCTGGGTAGAAGTCATGTTCTGGACACTGGTGGGAATACATGGTAGGAAAGCTCGAGGTCTTGCATGGAAGTTTCATGAGCTTCTGGTCCCAAACTTTGGAATGTAGTGTTTGCAAGAGGAGTCACTGTCTGGTCCTGACACTGTATACGTCCACAAAATCTACGGCCTCCTGCTTCACCCCTTTGTTTGGGTCTCAAGGGAGGCCCTGGAGGGAAGACTGCCTCCCTTCTCCCTTCCCAGGCCTGTCTCCTCCTCCAGCAGAATGTGAGCCACCATGGCCAGCCTTCTTTTCTGTCGTATACCTGGTGCCTAGAGCAGTGGTTCACACACAGAGGAGTGCTCCTGAAAAACTTGTTCATTGAGTGGGTGATAAAAACAAAATGAAAACAAAAGTGGGAAATCCAGGGTCAGTTGGGACTTGGGGGTTATTTGGAGACTAGGAGTCACAAGTTGGCCGCTGCCTGCTCAAAGTCATCTGCACATAGTGTTAGCTTGGGCTTTGCTGGAGTCTGGGGCATATCTGCTCCAAAAGGGGGGGGAGTACAGGCATGCTAATGCAGCTTGTCTTCCCTGTGCATGTCCCGAGGGCACCATTGCTGCTACTGCCAACGTGATGTCAGTAGATACAAGCAGAGACAGTGTCCCAGAGCTCAGGCGATGCAGGAAACACAGATACTGAACATGTGGAAACAGCCAAAAGGTTATATTTTTTGTTTGTGATTCAGTTTATTCATTTTTTTCATAATACATTGACATTTTCTTCCCTTATTTATTAGTAGTTTCTGTTGTTTTGTTCTTGCTTTGTTTAGGAGCAACACGAGTCTAGAGGCACCAATCTCTTCTCCGCAAGTGCATAAGAAAACCCTGTGGACAACTTACACCCGCTAACAGACCTGAACCAAGTTTGGCATTGAGTTGGGGAGGTAAATCCTTGGTATTAGGTGAGAGTGACTGTGCACACAGTTGTGGTTCAGGGCTCGGGGCTGACTGCTGGAAGTGGTCTCTCACTGTTCAGTACAGCGGGCACCTATGGCTCGTTCTCTCTGTCCCCTGGGTTGCTGGGGCTGCCATAGTGTTTATGAGGAGTGAGCAATAGGCCCCGATGAGGAAGTTCAGTTAGTCCTGCTGTAGTTAAAGTGATCTTAAAGCTTAGTTCCAGCTCAACGTCTGCATGTGTTGGTGTGTTGGGGTGTGTGTGTGTGTGTGTGTGTGTGTGACCTCAGATAGATTACTAAACCTTTGGCCTCAGTGTTCACCCATCTAGGAATAAGATGAAGGGTCTTCTAATTACATGTGGCAGAATGAGCATGGCATTTATTTATATTTTCTGTGGGAACCTCCCAAAAGAGATCAAGGAAATAAAAAACATAAAAATTATAAGCATACAAAAGGTCAGATAACGACAAGTAAGGCAGGTCTACCAAATGCTGGACATTGGAAACATCTTGACAACAAGGAAGTGACTGCTGCTGGCCTGCTGGACAGAAGCCTAGGAAGTTTGGGGCACAGCAGCCAAAATCCCTAGCAGTACCTCTATGGGATATTGTGAAGGTAGCAGCACCTCTGTGGGATATTGTGAAGATAGCAGCACCTCTGTGGGATATTGTGAAGGTAGCAGCACCTCTGTGGGATATTGTGAAGGTAGCAACACCTCTGTGGGATATTGTGAAGGTAGCAGCACCTCTATTGGATATTGTGAAGGTAGCAGCACCTCTATGGGATATCGTGAAGGTAGCAGCACCTCTATGGGATATTGTGAAGGTAGCAGCACCTCTATGGGATATTGTGAAGGTAGCAGCACCGCTATGGGATATTGTGAAGGTAGCAGCACCTCTGTGGGATATTGTGAAGGTAGGGGTGTGAGGAGGCTATGAAGAGGAGGATTCAGTGGACATCTTAAGAGATTACATTTGGAAATGTGGTCCACAAAAGCAACACTGTAAGCTAACAGATAAGACATGGGATCAAGGGATTCGACCTAAGGGGGAGTAAAAAGAATTCCCAAGCAGAGAGTAGAGCCCCGCACTGACAGGACTCACCATAGCCCTAACATTGAAGAAGAAAACAGGAGATATAAACGTAACAGCAACATGCACATGGGGTGAGAGATTGGCTCTCTGGTTAAAAGCTCATGTTGCTCTTGCAGAGGACCAGAATTTGATTCCCAGCACCCACATGGCGGCTAATAACCATGTATAACTCCAGTTCTAGGGAATTCGATAATCTCTTCTGACCTTCACAGGCATCTGGCATACAGTGCACATATATGCATACATACATATATACATGCAGGCAAAACACTCATGAACATAGAATAAAGTAAATAAATCTAAAACTTTGTTACCAGTAACGCAATTATCATTGGTGATAAATAGGAAGTAGGAAAGAGAACTAAAAGTTATTGCACTTGGGGAGTGACAGTTAAGAGTGTTAGACAGAAAGGTGAAACAGCCCTTCTTACTAGAGGCCTTGTAGTCCTGCTTAAAATTCTTTTTGAATTAAAGTCTTTATGTATTTCATTCCCACTGGAGCATTTTTAAAGGGCTGGGGAAATGTCTTAGTCAGTAAAGTACTTGCCATTCAAGCGTGAGGACCTGAATTTCTTTTTCTTTTCTTTTCTTTTCTTTTCTTTTCTTTTTTTTTTGGTTTTTTTTTGTTTTGTTTTGTTTTTGTTTTTACGAGATAGGGTTTCTCTGTATTGTTTTGGAGGCTGTCAGTACAGCCTGGCCTTGAACTCACAGAGATCCGCCTGCCTCTGCCTCCCGAGTGCTGGGATTAAAGGCGTGCACCACCGCCCAGCGTGAGGACCTGAATTTCTAAGCATCCTTAAAAATGAACGTAAGTGTGGTGGTGTGAGCCTGTGATTCTAACCCTGGTGACAAGGAGAACCCCTGGCTTGCTGGCCAGCTGTGCTCCTGTCTCAGTGACAGATCCTGCCTTAAAAAATAAAGGGGAGCACAACAGAGCAAAACATCTGGTCAAACACTGGACTCCACACACATGTGCACATACACCTGCCCACACATGAACAAGCACACATGCATTACACACACACACACACACACATACACACACACACACAAGCATTCAAATATTTGGATAGTGTGATAATAAAACCCATTTCAGAGGATCATTGGGAACAGCAAAGACTCACAGTTGGGGCACAGGTAAAGCATCTGAACAGAGTCTAACACAATACAAAGCCATTTTGCTTATCATATCAACAAATTAATCACTATGTTCAATAATAATATTAACCAAGTAACTGTCTTCTCTTGCCCAGCCCTAACCGTGAATAGTGTATCACAATGGAGAATGCTAGATAAGGTCAGGATTTGTCACGACTGCAGCTATTCTGTAAGAGGCCAGATTGAATGATACTTCAAAGTCCATCACAGCAGCCTGCCCCCTTTCTGTTGACACCGCCAAAGACTAGAGTTGGGGTTAGCTTATTCTGCATACCCAAGGTTATTCTAAGGTCACTGAATATATCCCAAGGCTTGGGGCTCAGGTCTGGTATGACTTCCCTACTTCAGGAACACCTAGCTTGATGTGACTAAGCCCTTTTAAGCAACTACCATATAAAAACACCCCAAAGTGACGAGTTTAAGAAACAATGTAAGAATTTTATAATCACAAAATTATCCTTATTCCTGTTGACTCTTGCTTTAGTGGTGGCAATTTGGCTGTTTTTGTACAGTGTGTTCCCTATCCTCTGGAGGACTATCAGGCTGACTTCACGGTTAAGGTAATCTTATAGTTACACTAACACTACAAGTTTTGACATTGCCTGTCCTCTAGACTTCATAGCAAATGCTATTACATTTATGTCTGAAGTTCCAACTAGGTGAGTGGTGAGGCAAAAAAAAAAATAACTACAGTAAATAGAACCCAGAAGCCTGATAGTGGTGCATTTCTTTGTGCTGTTTAAGGAGCTAGCACTGTGGAGCTCCTGTTCTGGGAAGGCAGTGTATATGACACTGAAACCATAGTTGAATAAATGCCTCTTAATAATTGGTTGGTTATTAGTTGCCATGGTAATTTCTTAAGGAGACAATGTGTGGTTGAACATTTTTTATTTTTGCGATTATAATATAGTCACATCATTCTTCCCTTCTCTTTCCTCCCTCCAAACCCTTCCATCTACCCCTCCTTTCTTTCAAATGCACGGCCTCTTTTTAAATTTTTATTACCTGCACATATGTATGTACACATACATTTCTTTATATATATATATATTATATCCCGCTCAGTTACTCTTATTATGTTTTCAGGATTGACCCTTTGAAACTGGGTAACCAATTGGTGTGCTCTTTGCTGGGAAAGACTATTCCTCCCACTCTCAACGTTGCTTAGTTGCCTGTAGTTCTTTGTGGTTTGAAGCCTTGGGGGGTTTTCCCCACCCACTTTGGCATGTCTATCGTCATACTTGTTCAGCTCACATTTAGGCAATCACGGTGGGGGGCAGTTATGGACATAGCTTCTGACACAGTCTTACAGCAAGCTCCCTGATCTGCTGGCTTTAAGAGTCTTTCCACCCCTTCTTCTGCAATGTTCCCTGAGCCCGGGGTGTGGGAACATTTTGTAGATGTATTCATTTCATTAACACAATGAAATACGATGCAATCAGATCTGCAACTCTGGTAACACTTTCCTTCTTGTCAATTGATTTGGAAGCAAGGGAAACAGGTGGCTGCAACATGTCATCAGAAGCTCTTCCTCGGTCCCTTCTATAGCCCGGCACTATCTAATTTAGCTCTGAATCTTGAGCAGAAACTAATGGGCATAATAATCACAATAATTACATGTTAGATTAATGGTGCAACCTTTATGCAAAGAGAGCAAGGCATTTGCAGCCCTGCAGATGTTCCATAAACATATGCCCCATATACTAGGAATCACAAACGGTCCATTTCTACATGAACTCCATGTGGATACTAACGCTTTGAACTCAAATGACCTGTGTAGAATTGAGTTAGGGCTCTTCTCACCGTGCCTTCTAGGAATAAACTCTGCAGCTTCATCTCTAGGAAGGGAACTGTATAACCTCTGTGGTGTGATAATAAGAAGCCTTTAAAAACGTTTTAATGAATGGGTCAACAAGTGGATGCTAAGAGTGTGCACTGACAGAGAGACAGCCGGAAGTGCATTTCCTATCCCATGTCTGTAAATGAAGTTCCTGAGCACCAGCACTGTATCTTTCTTAGGACAAATGATGATGTCAGAGTGTTTTTAAATTTTAAATATTACTGTTGTTAAGATCATTTTAAGGCAAGGCAGCTAGGACCTGGAGTATTTTGAACAGTGATGTTCCTGACCTTATATGCATGTTTGTACTAGAGTGTTTCTGTAGCATAGGGTCTGGACTTACAAGGAACCTGCAATGTGTCTAAAATGAATGTAGTACGAGGCTGTGGGTAGCATGACACCTCTGTGAACATGACTGCCTTTGATAACACACAGGCATGCGCTCCAGCTCCTTTCTTTCCTCCATGAGTAACTTTCTCATTGGGAAAGCCTGACATGGAAACGCCCTTTAAGGAACAATTAACTTGTGACTGATCACGAACGTGCAGTGCACCGATCCACTAAGCAGAAAACAATAGACAAAGAAAGCATCCAGTAGGTTTGGCTCTCGGAATAGCTCTTACCTGGTAGATTCCTGCTTGTAGATGTCGATAATGTTTTCCACCAGCAGGTTCCTCTGAAGTCCATAAACCCCGTGTCTGTCTAACACCACCTCGTGTCTGCAGGAGGGACAGCGGAATCGACCCCCTGATGCCACCGTAGTGCCTCCTCTTGTGGGTAAGTATGGGTTAGAGGCCTGTTCTTGCCAAGCAAGAAGAAAAGGAACTGAGTAATGCCCGCCCCATGGGGAGCTTTTTGGAAACTATTTTCACTCTCTGACACCATGCAGTATATTGACTCCTCAGGGCTTACTACAAGCGATCCTGAAACACAGGCCTCCCCTGACCCACAGCCAAACCCACAGTACACCCTCTTTATCAAGAAGCATTCTTCTGTCCCATGTTTTCATAACCCAAAGTTTCAACTAGAGGCTCCAACACTCATACTCTGACCACTAGCTCATTTTCAATTTTGAAACATAGTCAGTGCATCTGTTTTGTTTTACTAATGACAAATACGGTTCTTAGAATGAAAACGCAACTGGATTTGGAAGAGAGGAGGAAGCTGACAACCGAACCCGGGAAAACGATTCAAACACGCTGGAAACAGCCTCAGGGAGCTCTCTAAGGGGACCGCCTCTGATTTCAAACACTCGAGGCAGGATGGAGGGGCACCCCCAGCCTCTGGATTCCAAACACACCTACCTGGAAGATGTCACTGGCACATTTCCTACACAGATTGTGTTGGCAGGGGAGAATGACGACGGGCTTTGTGAACATCTCTAGGCAGATGGGACAGATCAGTTGCTTTTCCAAGTTATCCATGGTCTGCTGCTCTTTGGAGAAAGACTTGTAATTCAAAGAAGCGCTCATTTCCTGGCCGTCGCTGAGCAAGCGTGCTGCCAGGGAACTGGTACTCCCAAACGGCTTCTGCAAGTGTTTCCTGGAAATAATTCCAAGGACTGTGAGATCAAGTGTCCTTTACGTTTCTCTCTATGGAGGACATTGTTGCAGGCCCTGGTTCAGAGTGGGTGATGGAGCTGTTTTTAGCAACTCGAGGTCACATGACCCTGGACTGACTTGTCCATATAAGCCAGTGACAGGAGGATGGATTCTGACAGGTGACAGAGAGCAGGAGTCAACATTCTTGCTCTAGGGAGTAAGAGAGTGGGTGGGAAGGGGATTACAAGTCCCATTTAGCAGGGGTTATGAAGGGAGGGCAGTCTACAGCCCACAGTTGTCAACAACAAATGCAAATGTACATGTCTGGTCTCTGAGCCTTGCCCTCCGTGAGCGCTTGGAAAGAACTTGGTGACAGGCTCCTTCACAATGCAGCCTTACAGTGTAACTGTATAAGAAACATTGTTTCTTCAGACTTCAGGAAACAAGCCACCCGAAATAACATGATGGCAACTTCTTAGGTGCAAGCAAGCCGAACCTGTTCTGCAGATCTCACAGGGCAATTGTGTAAAAAGCTGCTCCTGATACCAAGTTTTTCATTGTTTTGCCACGATTGTGGTGTGGGGGAAATTCCAATTTAAAAGCTGAATTCAAGATCCTATTACCATAAAAGTATCTACAAAAGCCTTTTCTTTTTGCACACGTGTATGTGTTTGTGTGAATGGTCACATGTGTGGGGTGAACATGTTGTGTACATGCATGTGTGGGAGGCATGTGGCTGCTGCCTCCATTGTTCTCCATATTCTCTGTAGAAAGAGGATCTCTCAATTGCAGCCAAAACTGGCTGACAGGACTAGTCCACCGAGTCATCTTGCTCAGGGGCTTCCTCTGTTTTCCATGGAATTACACATCCAGCAGGCATTTAGATGAGCTCTGGGGGATCTAAACTGCAGTCATCACATTTGTGTAGCAAGTGTTTTATCCACTGAGCCATCTCCCCAGACCTATAAAGTTAACCAAACTGTTGAATATGTTGCTCCCCTTCCCACTTTTATCCTGTACCTCCCTCCCCACCTGCAGCACAAAACACAAAGAAAACTTGTGACAGTCTTTTAAAAATTAGCTTAGTTTACAGCAGTGATCCTCAATGGGATAGCAGCTGGCATATGGATTGAAGGCTGTAGTTGCATGTCACCATGTGCTGGAGGAAGATGTCAGTGCCTTCTACAGCTGGAGTGAAGACAGAGTCCTATGTGCTGCCCAATCTGCACCTAAAATGCCTGTGTATTTTGCCTTTCATTCAAGGTCCTTTTAAAAAAATGATAATATCCCTAATAATTTCTAGTGTTCTTGGTCTGCTCTTGCCTTATAAACACAAATTCTGACATTTGCCAGGGACTTGTAAAAATTATAAATCATATGTATTGCATATAAAACTTTAAATCAGATAAAAAACAAAAGAAAAATTCATGTCATTGTTAAGTGACAATTTTTTATCTTACTTCTCTATGATTTCAAAGTCCCAAACAAAACACAAAAACCCACAGCGTACACTTAGTTACAATAAAGGGCAGGTCATTGTGGCTGATTGCGCAAAGTCTTGTTCTATATGTATGGACATCTTACTTGCAATTTGTAAGCTCGGTTATCTAATAATGTTACAAAAATACATACACATTGTGGGTGGGAATCGTGAAGGATTCTCTCAAAGCTTCCAGTATTTGTTTAGCAACTGCAGTGAAGGAGGGAATTCATACCACTCTCCTGTCAACTCCTCTCAGCAGTTAGAATCTGTTTATCATTACATTGGCTGTGGAACTCTGGGCTCAACATGTGAGATGTTTTCCAGGGAGGTGTCTACTGTAGGAACAAAAGACCTTGTTATCTAAAAACAAGCAATTATTAGTCTGGATCAATATAGATATGGGTTGCCAAATGAGATGACATGACCAAAGGTTGTATAGTCCTACAATGGCCTTCTAAAGACTAGAGACACGCAGAAACCAATAGCTTCTTTATTCAAGAAGCTGTAAGTTTCAGAACAAGAGAGCAATGATATAGCCAGGAAGCCTTTGAAGAGTCACGGACACGAGTCCGTGTTCAAAGACATGCCTGATGTCTGACGATGACAGCAGCAAACACCGAACAAACCCCAAAAGATCCCAGTATGCAAACAAATATGGATACCCCCTTCATCCTCTTTTTATTTCTAAATCTCAGCTGCCCACGATTCAGAATTTGTGGGCAGTTTGAAGACTGATATATGAGTTGACTCTAGAAATAGCCTCACAGCCACACCCAGAAGGTTCTTGACAAATTTTCTAGATGACTTTAATCATTAACAACCAAGATTAACCACTACAGTCTTTAACACTGTAATCATGGCATTTTTGTTCTCAGGACTACATACCGAGGACCGCATCCTTAGGCAGTTCCATCAGTGTGTGGCCATCAGACTGGGTTTACACAAACTAGCTGGTATAGGCGGTCATGCGCTTGGATTCTTCAACATGTCTTATTGTTCCTAGTCTACAAACCGGAACTGCACGCTCTGGCGGGGAGTGCTGCAGGCAGTTATGGATAGTGGTAAGCATTTGCTCATACAGTACAGTGAAAAGATGAGGTAAAGAATGAAAACACTGGAAGATTCTCTGGGTAAGACAGTGAGTTTGTATGTTGCAAGCCTGGGGCAGGACTGCAGACTGCTGCAGACTGTACCAGAGCTGTGCACAGGACTGTTCAATTTACAAAGAAATGGATAACAAGGTACTTCTTCAAGAGTCATTTGACATTAGATTACTACATTCCTTTGAGATTTTGTTTTTATTTTATGTGTTGACATTTTTTGCTTACATGTATGTCTGAGTATCATGTACATGCAATACCCTCGGAGGCCAGAAGAAGGTGTCAGATTCCCTGGAACTGGAGTTCTGATGACTGCTTGCCACCACGTAGATGCTGGCAGTCAAACCTGGATCCTCTGGAAGAACAACCAAATTCTCTTAACTGCCCATCCATCTCTCCAGTACTTTCATTTTGTACTTTTGTGTGATGACCATTTATTAAACACAGCTGTATAGCTGAAACTTTTTGTTTACATCTTCATCCGGTACGCCTCTTCTATGTCTATCTTTAAACCTTCTGTGTTTATCTTTAAATTAGGACATAAGTACACAACACTGGTCTAGACTCTCCAGCAGCATCACTACAAACATGTTCATAACGGACTATGTAGGGCATTATGACCACAGAGACATCACCAAGGGATATAATCGGGGGCCCCAGGGTACATGACACTGCCCCACCATTGACTGAAAAGTTGTTATATGGTGCATGAGTGAACACTGAGGCAGAACCTTTGGTGGAAACAGTCCATTCCTTCTAGAAGAATCCACTGAGCACTTACCACAAATTCCTATTGTATAAAGCTCTGGTGGATTAGCATCTTATGAATACTATACTGGAGTGAAGAACACTCTACTGATACATTAGCATCCCATGAATACTATACTAAAAGGTTATTTTTTAAATACTTACTAAATCAGGTACCACAAAGTCACTAAAAGTCTCTCATAAAAATGCTTCCATGAGCTCATGTGTGTGTGGATTAAACCTCCTTGTGAAGAGGACAGAGGATACTTCAGCTGACTTGGCTAAAGGCAAGATAGGAAACTGTTGCCAGTGGTGAGAGGTCAGGAAGCCCTGGCATGGGGCAGCAGCACTAGGAAGGGCAGTAGGAAATGTACTCTGGGGTTGTAAAAGTAGGCTCCATGGAGATGACTCCATGGAGATGACTCAGATGCCTAGCATGAGGACCACAGATGCTGCCGGGATGCTATTGTGAGTCAGCAGGCAGACTCTCTCAAGTTCTTCATCTGCCTGGACTTGTGCTCTTGGGAAATAACCCTCACCTAGCTGGATTTAGATTCTGTCATCTACAACTGACTAGGGTTCGTAAATAATTTGTAGGGGGAAAATATCCCAGAAACAGTGTTGCTTTTGACTTTTGAAAACCTACTTCCACTATTTGATGTACTGTCAATTTTCAGCCTTCTACCTTTCTACCCTCTGCTTCACGGGGCTCTCCACCTTTCACTTTTTTCTAGAACCTTTTTTCTTGTAGAACACACGGGAAGCCAGCTAGAACCCCATAGGAATACAACCTAGAGTTGAATAATCTTCACCTTGCCCCCACCCTCTTTTTTTCCATATCTTTCAAAGATAACCAACTACGTGGCCGATTTGTGTGTTGGGAATGGAACACAGGGGTGTGCTCTAGAAAAGAGACAGAACATTTAGCCTATACCCACATTCCTCCAAGTTTGGGAGGCAGGGAACATGCTGGAACTACAGCTTAAAGGCCTCTAAGGAGTTGGACGCCCCAGACAGTGGCCCCCAGGGCTTCTGGACTGTGTGTATGGTGGTCACAACCTCCTCCCTTTCCACCCTCAGTCTCAGCACACATTTAGACAGAGCTCAGAATCCTGCAGGGCAATCACACAGGACAATGTGGTGTGGAAGTCCTCACTATTCTTCGTTCCCGAGTCCTTCAGGCTGGTGGACTCACAGGAGACCTCTAATCTCTGAAGTGAGTCTGGAGGAATTCAGTTCTCAAAACCCTGGATAGACTTTAGGAGATGACAACAGAAAGATTTACGATGTTTTCCAACCTCTAGCCACCAAGTCAAATGGAAGCAGGCTTCAGGGGCCGGGCCAGGGCAATTCTGACACCAGCCACCTGAAGCTGAGACACACTTTACAAATTAAGGGCACAGGGCTCTACTAACTGTTCTCACTTCAGACTCTACCAGCAAAATGGGTTTCAAGATTCCTTGAACATCTAATCCACTGGCTTTATACTCGGGGATCTTACTGTGGCTTCAGTTTGATGAATTGCTAATGATGCATAATTCAGAAAAGCACTGTAGTTAAGTTCCAGCTCCATGCAGTTTGAATGTAAAACGGCTGTCCCAGGCCCATGTGTTTGACCACTGGGCTTCTGGCTGGTGGTGTGTTTTTGGAAAGCTGTGAAACCTTTATGTCTAGGAGATAGAGTCTCAATGGAGGAAGTGGGTCACAGATTGCAGGCCCAACTCCAGACCTACTTCCTGTTTGTTCTCTGCTCCCTGTTCTGCCCAAATG